GTATGCTATAAACCAGGGAGACTCAAGGGAAAGAACAGTAACTGGGAAGAGTAACTTTTGTGCCAGTCTGTTTTGCAGTAATAGGAATTCCCAGAAGTTTACATCACATTTGCTTGAAGAGTGGAGAACTTGATTTAAAAAAAAAAAAAGAGGAAACATTCAGCCTGTGACATTGTTGACTGACAAGAAGGAGAATGCATATTAGTAGGGACCTACCGAATTAATGGCAGAAGTGGGCTTCATGGCAGTTCCTCCAATTTCAGGTTCCCCCGCGCATCCCTCCCCCTCCCCCCTTGTTGCCAATTGGCTGAGGGGCCCTGGTGGCCGTGCTGACTGGCCAGAAGGCAAAAAATGGTGCCATATTTAAACGTGCAGTTTTTGCCTCCCTACTGATCAGGACCAAGCAGTGGGAGCCCTCTGCCAATTGGCACGCACGGGGCGGGGAGGTGCACAGGGGAACCTGCAAGATTAAAGGAGCCACTGCAAAGCCCACTTCCACTGTGAATTCGGTAGGTCCCTACCTGTTACTTCCAAAGCAAACTGACTGAGAAGTCTGTCCATTATCAAAGGTAAAAATTATTCTTGTAATCTATAGTTTACAGGGGAATGTAAACAAAGCTTCTAGCAAAGCAACAAAAATATTGATTACAGGAATGGAATAGTTCCTTCAGAGGTTTAGAAGGAAAATGTCCACTGACAAATAATTGAGGATCAAGTCTGGAGGGTGCATCTCTGCACACTGCATTATAATATATAGAAATTATATAATATTTGCCCTGAGAAGCAGGATGTTAGCTTTATGGATCCTCATATGATGAAGTAGTCTGCTTCTGGTACCCACAAGCTCATTTAGAGCTACCCTGGGTATTTCTTTGCTAGATATACACTGCAGACACCCTAGTTTGTAAATAGTATGCTTTTATCAGAAAGTTGGAAAGGCAGCTCATACTTGCTTGTACTACCATATTTATTAAATTAAAAGGTGAGCCCATAGTCTTGGATTTGAGTACAGGGCAGCAGAGGGGAAGGTGGCTGCTGTGGCTCCTGCTCCAGCCAGGCTCAGAGCTGCAGCCACAGCACCCCACCTCTCTTCTGCCCTTCCACCCACATTCACAGCTCCATGCCCTGGACTAGAGTGGTGCTGGAGCACATGACGACACTGGCCCCTACCCAGCCAGGGGTGGCTGTGGTGGTGGCAATGAGTCCAGGGCCGGGGCAGTTAGTACTGCTGCCTAACCAGGTGAGGACTGGAGCCACTGTATGTTCTGCATCCTGGGCCAGAGCTGCAACTGAGGTTAAGCAGTGGGTATGGGGTAGGACAAGTAGCCAGGGTCAAGCTACTTGACTCCTCTGCTGCTTTCTCCACTGCAGTGATGGGGGTGATGAATTTTAAGACAGCCTTCCAATAGGTAGATTCTAGACATGGAAAAATTACAGGTTGTCCATGTCTAGAATTTAGTTACTGGAGAGCTTTCTTGAATTGGTGTCGGTCCTGGGGCCAGTTTTGTTCAACGTTTTCATCAGTGACCTGGAAGATGACAGACTATACACTCAGCAAGTTCGCAGGTGACACAAAGCTGGGGGGGGGGGGGGGGGGGTTAGTACGTGTGTTGCCAGCAGGTCAAGGGGAGTGATTGTTCCCTCTATTCAGTACTGGTGAGTCCATATCTGGAGTACTGTGTTTGCTTTCGTCCTGCCACCCACAGAAGGGATGTGGGCAAATTGGAGAGGGTCTAGTGGAGGGCAACAAAAATAGTGAGGGTGCTGGGGGACGTGACTTTTGAGGAAAGACTTAGGAAACTAGGCTTATTGAGTCTAGAGAAGGAGACAGAGGGGATTTAATACCAGCTTTCAGCTGCCTGAAGCAGGGTTTGAAAGAGGATGGAACTAGATTGTTCTCAGTGGTGGCAGATAACAGAACGAGGAGCAATGGTCAAGTTGCAGCAACGGACATTTAGGTTAGATACTAGGAAGAATTTTCCTACTAGGAGGGTAGTAAAACACTGAAACAGGTTACCCAGAGAGGTGGTGGAAGCTGCATCCTTGGAGGTTAAGACCTGGCTAGACAAAGCTTTGGCTGGGATGATCTAGTTGGGGATGGTCCTGCCTTGAACAGGGAGTTGGACTAGAAGAGACTCCTGAGGTCCCTTCCAACCCTAGTTTTCTATGAATTCAAAGTAATTTTAGATTCAGGTAAAGTATATTCAGATATCAGAGATTAAGCCTCTTATTCCCTCCTAATAGAAGTTGTGCTGCTTGTTTCATTTATATTGCAATAGCAGCTTCATAGCTGTTACTGTTACATAATGATATAATGGATAAGTTAATGAGGGACACCATTGTTAGATCACCTAAAGCAAAGAATAAATACAATGCTCATGTACAGTCTTAAACTGTATTGCAATAGTTTTGTTCTCCTCCCACTCCCCAAAACTTCATCATAAACAGCTTCTTTCTTCCAAAAAGTGAGTTCTGTTATGCACTAGGCTATTGGCACTTTTACCTATGGGTTAGCTACCCAGGGCACAGGTATAGTTTAGGCCAGGGAGCTGGAGTTCAGAGGGGCATGGTGTCAAACTGGATTTAGAAGTCATAGCCAAAGTTAGATAAGCTGGGGTCAGAAACCAAAGCCAAAGAGAAGGTAAGCTGAGGGGTAACTGATATCAGAAGTCAAAAACCAGAGCTGAAGGTCAAATCAGAATCACAAGCAGAGAACCAGAACGAGGGCATACCAAAGGGCTTACCAGAATGGGAGCTGGAGTCAAACCAGAAGATCAGCAAAGACATGCACAGCTGATCAAGTACAGAAACTTGCACCTTTGCCCACACAAGGAGAATGGGCTGGGCCTAGCTTGGAAGAGCTGGAGCCTGCTGCCCCTGGCTCACTCAGCCCAGCTGGGACCAGGGCCTGCTCTGAGCTTGCTGCAGGTGGGGATGTTTTGTTTTGGGGATGACTTGCCCTGATCTCCTAATTGGGACTGGCTGAGTCTAGGATTCTGGCCTGGCCTCATTACAGATTTTGGGGGGATAGAAAACAGCTGGAGGGGGCCATATTGTCTTTCATTAAGCATAAAACTTGGAGCCTTGAACTGTAAAACATTTTCTCACTTCTGCTTTAAAATTATTGCACTTTGCAGCTATGACATAAGTTACTATTATTCCAATGTTAAACATTTGTGAACTGAAGCTGAGAGTATAAGTGACTTGTACCTTAGAACTGAGGCCTCCAAAATTGCTAATCTGCAGAGTTGATCCAAAGTCTGTCTTACAGTCTCAGTGAAATCAGTGGGCAGCAGAGATGAGGCTCTAAATCCACTTTTCCAGAGGTGTCAGACATCCAGTACATTCAACCTAATGATGAGTCTGAATGGCAGATTCACAGGCAACAAATTTTAATCGTGTTTATGAAGAAAAACTTTCAAATATGAACTAAAGATTCTCTTCATGAGTGTGTGTGCAGTCTGAAACTATAGTTCTGAAAACTCTGAATTTCCCTATGCCCTGGATCTCCTCTGGTATTGATGCTGACACCTAGAATGACATACTTTTAATGTTAACATTAACTACTTCATTGTTGATCATTCTGTGAATGTGCATTAAATCCATAGGGCATGAATTAGGAGCTCCTGCAGAAAAAAGGGGGGCGGGGGTGGGAACTGGGGTAAAAGGGCTAGAAACACAATGACAAGAGGAAAACTGTGTTAGTCTGAAGTTGGGCAGAAGGTAGGGCAGAGTGGCACCTTTGCAATTAACTGGTCAAGGAAGCACAAGCTTTTATAGGCAATTCTCAATCAGGAGAATGAAGTCAGTATGAAGTGAAGTCCTGGTCCATGACTAGAGCTCCTAGACATTACTGTAATGTCTGTCCTAAAGGAAAAGGAACAAAGCAGAACTAGTTCTGGTGCTGAAGAGTGTGCTACTTGATGCATGTTGCTAACGGCAATGGCAAAGTACTAAAAATAACTATAAATAAATTAAAACAACCCTACATCAAACAAATGTTATGGTTGCAAAATTAGATACTGAAAAGTTAGAAAGCACCAGGAGTAAGGTTTTCTGTGCAACTGTAAGTTAGTAGCATTGTGCATATGAATTATGGTAGTCACTCATTACATGTTGTTTTATCCACAATTCCTAATGGTTAATTATTGCAAGAAGGTTGGGGTCTCCTTTTGGTCTTTGTGCAAACCTCCTATTGACATTATTGGTGGCTCCGCTATGAACTGAGGCAAGAATATGATCTTTTATTTATAATCAGTTTAATTTGTGTTCTCCAAGATAGGGCTGTGGAACAAGGAAGGTAAAACATTCATTAACCTGCTATCATTTGGAGCCTGCATTTCCAGTTGTGCCATAACATTTTGCTCTGCAGATGAAGATATGCATTATAAAGATGTCTTCTTATATCTCATTTAGATTGATTCATCTGGTCATTCTTCCTCTGCTCCAATAACCTGTAGAATGCAGTTGAATTGTGTAGCTCTACAACCAATAACCTATAGTTGTCTTGGATATGAAAACAGAAGTCCTGTGACTTTTTTTCTCATATACAAATATGCTAAACCCAGAGAACATAAAATAAGTGTATGTAAAGGAATAATCGTTGAAAAAGAACAATTTAAAGAGGACCCTATGAGTGAACTTTGGTTTCATTTTATGAAATCAAAATAATGCATTTCTGTTTTAGTGTAATCGTCTCCTGTGTTTGAGAATGTCCACGAGTAGGTTCAGGGTCTAGGTGTCAAATTGGAGATGCATTGTGTGCTTTTTACGTGCTGCACACAGGATTCTCCCTTAACATCATTCCCAGTCTGTGTTTGTCATGTTATGAAATTTATATTTAATCTAGTTGTGCAGATGAGCTGATTGATTGTGATAGATATCTATCTATCTAAGTATTATTTGAAGTGATATCTTCTGACTGTATAAAGTAGATATACATTTTAAAGGTTATTTTGGCATACTCTTACTTAATATAATTGTTCTTCTGCCATCTTCAGGATGTAGACTGGAAAGTGAGTCAGGAAGCTTTGGACTACTCTTATTCTCATAAAGGAAATGAACAATCAGACTTGCAAAAGCAGGAGGAAGAAGAGATAAAGCAACTGCATAATGAAGAGAATGAAAAAAGAAATAAAACTGATGGGGAAGAGAGTGATAACAGAGATTTTAGCACTGAGGTAAGAGTAATTAAAAAAACAACCTGGGTGAATAGTTTTCAAAACAAGTATTTGAATATCCTGTGGTCATTTGTTCTGTGCATGCTGCTAGGAAAAATAGCAAAAGAGTGATAGCAAAATGATAGCCTGTAAATAAGACATTCCCCATTTGTCTTCCTAGGAGTTAGGTTTCTATACACCAGTCCTTCCAAAATGAATATAATTAGTCTCTTAGAAACTACATTTAATTCTATGGTAGAAGGTTATTCCAGAGAAGCAGTTTTTAAAGTTGGGCACATTGAGAGAAGGATGTTAAAGTATTTTAGTTTCACTTTTATGGTTTATCTAGATCTTCATGCCCACAAGTTTGTCTTGCATGTTACAGGGTTGATTTTTTTGAAGATTAAATAAAGGGAGACTTGCTTGGGCATATCTAAGCATATTTATGGTAGATTGAAAGAGTAAAATGAACACTGAGAGTGCTTCCACAAGTTACTTTTTTTGCGCTATCAGGCCCCTGAAAGTGCTCTTCAGCCATGACGTAACACACGTGCACAGCTGCAGAGCACTTCTAAAATGGCCAATCGCACGAAAAATTTACCCTGGTCAAATGAGGTAATGGATGAAGATGCTCTAAAGCAGAATGTCTTAGGAAACTTCTGTTCCCTCCTGGGTTAACTTTTGTGGGGCTGGGCTCTTGCTCGTGCCCTGGTGAGTGCCCTGATTCCAAGGCTGTCAGCTGGGGAGGGAGGGGAAAGGAAAGGGAGCAGCCAGCTGGTACTGCCAGCTGCTTCGCCTGGCCAATGCTGGAGGGCAGGGGGGCAAGGTGGAACAGAGCCCCCTCACCTCACAGTCTCTCTCCCCCCTGCTACCCCTGCTTGGGTATTGGAGGGAGCTGGGCCTTACCTGAGAGGCAAGGTGGGGACTCCCTTCCCCCACCTCTGGCCTGGGCCTTTTGACAGTAGCAGCACAGAGCTGCCAGCTGCTTTGAATAGTCAAAGCTGAGGGCAAGGTAGAACAGAGCCCCTTTGCCTTGCAGGCCTGGCCTATCTCCCCCCAGTACCCCAGCTGGGGTAGTTGCCATGAGGCAAGGGGGCTCCTTTCCACCCAGCGGCCCCCTTCAAGCTTTGGCCAGGCAAAGCAGCTGGCAGCTCTGTGCTGGCTGCTCTCTTTCTTTCCCCCCTCCCCCACTGACAGCCCTGGAGCTGGTGGATGAGGCAGGGTGGGGCTAGGGAGAGGGGTGGTTCAGCAGTCTCCTTGAAGGCTGCTGGAGCACCCCTGCCTGCTGCCTAGGGCTGGTGCAGGCAGGTTCCAACCCTGCACCCCAATCTCTGCCCTCTCCACGCTGCCCCCAGGGCTG